GTCTTGGCCAGGGCATCCACACAAGGAGCCTCTGCCTCTGATGAGGATGATGAAATGCTTAATAAATTTTGGTCGCCTAGAGCTGATGGGAGTAATGCGGCTAAACCTATTGTTGTTGGCTTATTCGGCGATGAGTACACGGAACCATCGAAAAATGACCGTGCAAGAGCTTGAAACAACCCGCCAGAACCCAATAGAGCCTTTTGTGGAATTTGTTGCAAGGTGGAGGGCAAAGGCAGCGCAGATGAAAAATCGCCCTTCTGCCAATCTTTGATCGGGCGAGCGGGGGTGCTCACGAAGTGACCTTCCCCAATCGTACCCAAGTTCCCGAGCCGAGGCAACTTTGGTGATGACGGACACGTGGCCTTAGGCAAACGAGTCAGGGTTTCCTAAATTTCTCCAAAATAAAACATTTAGGTGGCGACTCTGTATCTAGCAAAGCAGTCCATGTTTGGCACTTCTTTCAAAAATCTGTTTTCTCAAAACGATTTGCCGGATTTGGACTCTTTGGTTCAGATTTAGAACCGTACAAATTGAGAGTCCGAACTGTAGTGAGCCCAATATTGAACGGAACGGGGGACTCATCCCTCCTGGGGCGTTCGGGGACGTCTACACCTCCTCACGGTCGGTCACCCTGCTCGGTCGGCCTTCACCCTACCTGTCTTTCACTGCCCTTATTCTTTTCAATATTCCCTTCGTTGGACTAAAGCTGCACTCGGGAATGGGAGACTACTGACATGGGTAAGCCCATAAAGATTAGAGCCCACCATTTAGGGCCCGATACATATCTCAAATACTGAAACCCAGCACTGCCAAAGCCCCATGTAACAATTAGAACCAATGACATCAAGATGCATGGCAAGAAAAGGGCAAGCCACATCAGTAGACAAAGATCTGCAAAGTTATTGCCACTGCACATCGCCATTAATGAGGCCCCCTTACAGCATTTATTGCGATAACCCCTCTCCGTCAAGACAACACGCCCTCACCCTGAACAAGGTAAGCTACAGCATAGACTTTCGGCCAAGGTAACAGGTCGGAAGAGACAACGTAATGAATACCAAAGGATATAAGCAGACGTCGAAATCATGTAGAAGGTTAAGCTTTTCTATCTCTATTCTATCTCTACACTCCACTTCTCTTTCTAACTTACTCATCGGAGGGTTCACTGGGGGACTCCCTGTTCCCCGTTAAACTCTTGTGCAGGTCTTCAGGTGGGCTTGATCATTCAGACATAGGCTTAAGAAGCGTCGATCAATCTAACCTGTCCTATCATCACAAACTGTATCATCAATTTTTAATAAAAGGTTTAAAAGGTCATTTGATTCTCAAAATTTCATTATAGAATTGATAAATCAAACTATCAATATTTTTGTGAGACACGTGAATCCTTGCATGATACAGACTCAAAAAAAAAATAAAAAATTCGTACATGATGTACCCAACAATATTTGTTTTAAATCATAAAGAGGGTCAGTCGATGTTCTTAAAATAGGTACAAAATAAGTGTTGTGGATATTATGTGAGTGTTTTGGAAGTCAGTTTTTATGTAAATTTTTTTAGTTATAAGATATTATTGGATAAAAAAAATTTAGTGTTTGGAAAGATATGTAAATTTTTTTGTGATTGGATGTGATATTTGTGAGAGAAAAAATGAAATGATTATGAAATTGGATGTGATTTTTTGTTTTGATTTATTTTTTTTAGTTTTGTAAAAACTTTATCTTTTAGTGAAAAAAATCAAAAAATATTCAAAACCAAATCTTTGCCAAACACCGCCATAAGGATCCACATGTTTCATCAAAATCATTGGCTCTTTGAAAATCAAAAGGCCTAAAATATTTTTCTTATCAATGTTTGCATTAGTTCACATGTCAACTTTTTATTTGGGTTTTGATTTTTATACTAATTTTTAGTTTTTAGTGAAAGGTTTGAAAGGTTTTTTTTCTTTGAAAAAAAGTCCTATTTGTGACAAAAACACAAATAAATCCAAAACAGTTATTACGAATGCACTTTCTATAAATTTTTAAGGGATTGACTTTTGTTCATTATTGGGCATATTGGGCTCACTTTTAATTTTTATTTCGATAATTTGAATTGTTTGTATTTTAAGATTTGTAGAGTATATTATTTTCGTAAAAAATTAAGTTGATCGACTAACAACAACCACGTGTCAGATCAATTTTGTATAAAAAAAATAAACGATGAAAAACTAAACAATTCATATAAAATTGATCCGAACACATAATCTCCGTTATCTAACTGACTTAACTTTTTTAGTAGGGATCATATACTCGACGAAACCTAAAATGTGAATAGTTCGAATTATCAAAATAAAGTTCAAAAATGGACCCGCTAGACCAAACTATAGTGTCACGCCCCGAAAATTGACACAATATAGATTCATCAACTTCCATTATTTAATATAAATGGAAATAAAGTCTCAATATTGACATCATCCTCGAATCTCCCACATTTGTATTCATTAATCATTAAAAGATTTACAAAAGATATTCCACGTGTGAATATAAATTCAATATTCCTAAAACATGAATCTATATCATGTGGCACAATAAGTTCAATACAAATTAATGCCTCCAAGGGTTACAAATTTCAAGGTTTAAACCCAGTTACACAAAAATGATTTTTTGAATTCATACATGTAAAGCCTTTGGCTTGTCAAAATAATTATAATAAAAGGAAAGAGCCATGTACTCTAAAAATATATTCCACACTTCTAACTTGGTGGGATCACCACATCATTTCTTGCACAAAATCACATAGGGTGGACACAAAATCTAGTAAGAAAATCTTAACAAAGAATATACATTTTACATAATCTCAAGGGATGAATGCATATATCTTGCCATGTTCAAAAACATATATTTCTATCTTTTGAAATTTTTGTGCACTATGAAATCTTGAGAATTTAACAATTTAATAATTTCAATGTAGTTCAAAGAGACAGTAAATACCACTCAGGTAATTCCTAAGTTGGTATCTACAAGTAGGCATAACAAGCACTATCAATCCCCACTTTACCGATTGCTAACCGGAAGGCACGTGGTACCTTCTCCGCACGTGTTTTCAGTCTTTCATCATGGACACTCAGGCCAACTCAACCAATACGAACTACACCTCCTATCTAGACTTCCTAATGTTACCCTAAAAACAAATCAATATGATCTTGTTTCACAAAACAATTTTCTTTCTCAAAACAATACTTTTTCTAATGCAATATTCAAAATTAATTGCATCAATGATAAAATGGAATGGCGATGCAAATGTTCAATACAATAATAAAGTTCCATTTAAATATCTTAACAATGCCAATTTGAAAAATAATAATAATGAAATCAAGTGCCAATGCAACATATTTCTATATCACAACCTTGAAATTTCTCAATTCATCCACACAATCCTCCATTGTGATCAAATTCCACATCTCTTATTAATATAACATCATAATATATATTTTTCCAAGAGACAATATAACAATATCATCATTCATGTATTCTCCACATGTTAAATATTATTTTTTAAACTCAATTTTCCAAGACAAACTAATGATAAGTTTTAAAATCGACTATTCTCATTCCCTTCATGAAATTCTCTCATTTGATACAACCATAGGAATTTCTCCATTATTTCTTCACATAACAATTTATCAAGCATCAATTTCATAATATCTCAACTTTTTCCCAAAATCTTCAAATTTTAGGGTTTTCACCAAAATAATATTTTTATTCCATTTTTTTTGAAAATATTTTTCTAAAACAACACCCACACCTAGAATATTACTCATAATCTCAAAAGTTTTGATCATCTTCTAACATTATCTAGGGTTCAACAACCCAAAATCATAACTCAAACATGTAATAAATGCTCCAAACAAGCATAATCTTGCAAAAATATACATGTAACTCAAAAATTATCCCTACCTCAAATTTGGGAGATGAACAAGAAGAAAACCCTAAAACTCAAAGTTGACAAAAACATGATCCAATCGGTTATAAACGTAGTTCTTGTCGTCCTCTTCGATTTGGTGTAAAAAATCCCCTCAGACTCTTGAAAATTTGAGCTAAATCTTAGAGAGAAGTTAAATTTGAGTGTCTTTCTAGAGAGACTGAAGAGAAAAGATGAATATATAGAGAGAGGAAGAGAAGTGAAAATATGTGTATCTCATTTTTGGCATCAATTTTGAGGAAAAAAGCATGAATTTCGAGACAGGCGCACCGAAATCCGCCTGAGCAAAATTTCTAATCCGCACAAGCGGAATTTTTGCCTCATGGATGGAAAATTCCCTCATGGATGGATTGCTCCAGAGCGCTGCTTAGAAAATTTCACCAAAATCCGCTCAAGCGGGACCTAAAATCCAATCGAGTGATTTTTCTCCCCAGAAAATTCTGAAAACCTTGAAAGACTCTATGAGGATCCGCTGAAGCAGTTGCCAAATCCGCCCGAGCAGTTTAGCCAGAAGCTCAAAAAGTGATTTTTGCAAAAGACTGGTTCCAATACCTAAAACTCAAAATTTTCAATCTGAAAAAATTAAAAGAGGTTGAGTAAGAATAGAAAGGGAGTCTCAACGACCTGATACGGTAAACCAAACACTGAAAGAAAAACATACTACCCTACTACACAATACTGTTCAAGACCCAGAACATCACATATACAATCCAATTAGATTTACAACTAGAGACAGTCTAAGTCCATTTTTATACACTTCCATAAATTTTAATATATTTTTTTACACATATCTATACTCATATATAAAGACTAATGACAACTTTTAGAGCTATCTTTAATAATATTCTTTTTTATTTATAATTTTTTTTTATATATTGGAATATACATAAAAGGCAGTTGATGATTAACAAACATACCATAATAAAACAGAAAACAAATATTCCCCCATGGGTATGTATGAATGAATAAAGATTTAGCCATATAATGATATGAACTCAAATACCAAAAGATTTCCACAAATAAAACAATGTGAATGCTGTATCCAATCATATGGCACCTCAGAGGGGGAAAAAAATCACCAATCCAATCCATCTTTAGTGGCCTCCACATAAAGCATAGTAATTTCAGAAATAGAGACCAAGCGTATAACAGAGGGTTTTCTATTTATTAAAAAGAAAAAAGAAAAAAGAAAAATAACTTATTAAATTATAAAAACAGAGAGAGAGATAGAGAGAGAGAGAGAAGGGAATCATAACAACCAGTCTGCAAATCCCCCATGGCATTGGAAATTGTTCCTGGCTTTGATTCTCTATATATACAAACAGCCGTAAACTAGTACAATGAAAAACCAAAAGGGAAGATGAAGAGAGAAGACTGAAAATTTTATGAATCCTGTTGTTGTATGTATGGCATATGAACACATGGAGGTTGGTACCTCCTCCCGTAAAACCCATGGAAAGATGGTACTTGTATCATGAAGATCCTGATCCTGGTAAACATAATATACAGGGTGGAATCACCTTATGAAATACCCGAGGCTACTACTTATCCGACAAGCCATCAAAGAAGAGCATAGAAGTAGTCTTAAAATGTTGCCTCCTATCAGGCACCAGCTGCTCCACTTTCGACACAGGTTTTACAGTTACTTCCTTCTCTGGGAATGGAAATGAAAGAGAAAGTGAAAGACACGCAGAAACATCCTCCTCCTCTTCCTCTTCCTCTTCCTCTTCCTCTTCCTTGGTTGCTGCCTTCTCTCGTAGCTGGTCCTCGGGGCCGTCATTCAGGTCCACTTTCCCCACTAAAAAAGGCAGGATCCCCTGTTTTGATGGTTTCATTTCTGCCCCCAAAGCAAGCTCGAGATTTGGCACTCCATCAAGATGCCGATCTTCATTTTCTGATGACAACACTTTCCAGAGGCCAGGGTTATCACCTGAGCTCAAGTCTTTCACAGGATTAGGATCTACAGGAAAGAAGTACCTTTCAGCAGTTCCATTGTCCTTGGAGACTTCTCTTTTGACACGAGCTTCTTCCACTCTCCCCTTCTTAATTGGAGAACTGGTACCAGCATCATGTATTCCCGACATGAAACTCTCTCTCGAAGAACTTTTATTCCCAGAACTATTGCACACATACAATCCACTGTAGCCAGTTCTCTGTTTCTTACTTGCACATTCTGCATCAAGTAACACATTATCTACATCTTTCCAAGTCAATGCTGAACTTACACCAGCAGAAGCTTGTGAGACTGTCCATTTAGAATCTTCATCCAGACATTTCCCATGATTAAAATGCCAATTGTTGACCTCCTTTACGGTTTGATCTCTCATCATTGTATCTCTCTGCAGTACAGCATTTGTGTCCAAAGACCCCAATTCTTCCTTCAAAGTCCTCTCAAATATGACCTGGTTTTTACAACTGTTCACTCTACCCGATATCTCTGAAGAACGAGATAAAATCTGGTGACTGTTTGGGACATTATACATTGGCATATTTTCACCTTTCTTGGAACCACTGATGGGTCCAGCAGCTTGAACAGACGGTTGAAGTTTTACCTCCAGTTTGCTTTCAGGATAAACATTTTCTTCCTGCATGGAATAATATGTGAACATTTATATGCTAAATTGAAAAGAAAAAGAAAAAAAACAATGATATGCTGTTTTAAAGGCCAGCAAGTGTAACGCTGCCCCACTCATAAAGACCAGGGTTGAGAAAGAGTCTACACTAAATTTAAATGTGGAAGGAATGCCACTGAAAAGTGGGAAAGACAACAATTTCAGACTTCTGTTTTAACACATCTGTAACAAATTAACTACAAAAAGGGTCTTTGTCAAATTAGAGAGGGAACATATAATTCACAATTGCATTTCAGAATCTATAATCCCATGAGGCAAAGGCCTATATGCCTGTGCTTTTTTTGTAACAAAATGCAATAAAAAGGGATGACAAGTCACATGCATTTCATGTGTTACACAACATATCACATAGAACACGAATTGACTCTGAAAAGAAATATCTCTAAAGTCTAATTAGGCAAAAATATAGATCTCTTTGTTCCTCGCGTGCTCCTATCCTTTTCCTCCATGAAAACGAGCATGGATCAATTTTTGAAGCTAAAGCAGTAAAACAATTGCAGCTAAGGCTAATTTCAAGTAAAAATAACATGACAATTAGATTGATGTTATCATACATCTCCCTTAATATTGTAAAATCATAACGTTGATAACAGTAATCATGATGATTACAGCCTTTTGTTGGCTACAGTCAAACAATAAAAAAGAAGTAAAGGATAGCAACATCGAAATTCAGTCTAGTGAAGTACTCCAGAGAAGCCAATACTTATTTGGTTTGATGGCATCAGATTGTCTGGTTTAAGCACCTCAGTTGTTGAGGTTTTGAATTCGATTCCACTCATGGTGGCACACACTACCAGCTATGCCCTCAAGATGGAAAACAATCAGAATGAATGATTGACCCATTTTTACCTCAAACATTCTCGTGATTTTTTCAAAAACAGTCAATTTCTTATGTCATTATTACACTGCCACCACCCAAAACCACTCGAATTAGACGATTCATGAGCAAAAGTTAATATCTCATCTTCTTTCTATGAGAAGTCCCCTCTCAATCTGTTGGGTTTCTGCCCATGTGGACCGTGAAAATCAAAAGGTTGTGTTCTTGTGTTTAATGCTTTGTCACATCTTTTGTTGTGACAAAAGAAATGCTGTAAATGGATTTGTGTGGTTTAGTGTTACAGCTGGAAGTAATGACGAAGCTGCTAACTTTGGAAGGAGGAATGTTAGTATGGAAAAGTGTTAAGGCCAGCAGCCTCGTTAATTGGTGTCACATGGTTTCCCAATTGGAATGTGGCAGCTTTGACAAATGGACACTTCTTGGGAAGCGCAATCAATAGATGGTGGCTTTTGTATCTATTCAACCTTCTCTGGTATATATATGGGTGTATTGAGATGTGTTGAGTGAGTGACAGAGCAGAAGAGAGAGCTGTCGAGGGTGTGTGATAGAGATGTGAGTGATGTGACATTACAAACTACCAGTAAATGGTGAATCCTATGGGCTTGGGGACTCAATTACCCTTGAGCACGGGTCTCGGGTATTGATGTTGGGTTTTGTGTAATTTATCTTAACATTGTACTCTCCATTATTCATTTTGGATTTTCCTCTGCCGTCTGTGGATGTAGGCATTTTTCACTAAACCACATTAAATATTGTGTGTATTTATTTTGGGCATGCACATGCTGGCACAAGGGATTATTTTTTTCCCAACAGGTTGTGTAAAAGAGTTTTAGGCGTGTTTATTTTCCCAACACAATCCTCAATCTATGACGATTCTAACATGCCACAAGCATACTCTACAAACAAACCTTGTCTAGGCAATAAAAAAAAAAAAGAAAAGAAAAAAAGTTCAATTAAAAATAATTTTCATCAGAATTTTCTCTCTTTAAATGATGGAACTTCATTAATTAATTTCTACGTGGAAATCGCATGAGGCCATAGTGAAATTCTTAGGTCTCCCCCTCTCCTAAATTTCAATTTCCAGCAGTTTTGCACATCACAAATGATCACAACCAGCTCCTTTAAAAAATAATAATAATAATAAGCACAACCCGCTCCTTCAAAAACCCCACTTTTTTAGCCTACTACCTTAACCCTAATTATTCCATAGCTATGGCAGAATAAACCTTTACCTTGCCTATCTGCCCACAAATTCATGCAAGCAGCATCTTTCATTCCCGCATCCAATAAGCCTTGGACCAAGCCTAAATTGCCTCTTGACTCTAAGTTAGCTCCTAGAATTTAAGCCCTAGCTCACTGTATTCAATCATTGGACAGCCTTCGTATCAATGTAGACCAAGGATATAAAGAGTTAAGCAGTCTACACCAAGGATATAAAGAGTTAAGCAGTCTACACGAAAAGACAAGTAATTAGAATTGAGGCTTCTTGACTAAAATGTTTAGTACTCTTTTTCCTTGAATATACAACCCTAATTTTTTCCTAGAGAAAATGACATTGTGATGGCATAGCAATGACGAGGCAAACCACATAGGATATCAGACATATGTACCCACATTTAAGGCAACATATTATTTGACAAGGAAAGTTTAGCATAACACATACTCAACAGAAGAAGAAAGAGACGATCCATATCTTGGAAACCTCATATAAAATCCCTTAAACCATTATGGGCCACATGTTAGGCTTGTATCGCGTGCCATAGTCAAAGCTTCGAAAACTATTCCCAGAATCTCAAAAGAAAACTCTTGATTGGATATTACATAGACCTTTGTAATCCGCAGAACATCTTCTACTAATACAAGGAAGTAGAACCCCAAAACTAGAAACTTATGAAACTTCTACTGACACAAACAATCTAGAGATGCTAGAATCACACAAAAACACTTGATAACATCGAGACACAAAATAAAACCAACAGGCCACCACTACAGCCCATGTCCCGTAAAATTAGAACCTATAAGATTCTCTCATATCCTAAAATATAAGAAAACATATATTGCACTTATCTATTGCAACTATAAACAGACCCAAATTAAACCAACCTATAATCATACAAGGTCCCAATGCCACTCCATATGAAATTTCCCATTTTGTCCAACATGCTTTGGATAGCTAAATTTATTTGCTCCGTATCAGTGAATCAGTGAATTAAATATAAGCTACATCAAAATGCCTAAAACTCAACTCTCCACTCAAAAAAGAAGAAGAAGAAGAAGAAGAGAAAGAAGAAGAAGTAGAATACAAATAAAGGATGATGAAAAAGAAATTGGGGGGGAAAAAAAAAACCCAAGGCAGGTGTTAAATGAAAACTAGAAAGTTGCAAGGATTAAAACTCGGTATCAACCAGATTTTAACGAAAGCCAGAATACTTCAAGTCCTTGGACATTTGATTACCAAGGCCTGCAAACTCAATATATGATGCTGCAACAGATAATGTCTTAGTGTGTCAAGTCATATGGGAGGAAAATTACATTACCAGGGGAGTACTGGTGCATCTCGTTTCTTGGAATGACAGTGCACTGGTTCTTTGTATGCTAGGCAAGGAAGTCGTATCAAGTTCACAGTCTTGCTCCCCTGCATTTGCTTGTGTACACTGACCCTTTGATGCAATGGTATCACAATCCCCTTTTATGGTTTCAGATGATAAACAGGGTGATTCCATCGAGGCAGGACATTCAGATTCTAGACCAACACTGGAAGCCTTCAAGCGCAAAGGTAAATCCATAGTTATAGGCCCAAGTGAAAATATGCTCTCAGGCAGAGACATGATAGGGGCGGGTAGATCTCTGGGAATACAATACTTCTTTGGAAAACCAGATACATCTTGCAAGCAATTCACCTTCTTTCCTCTGAACACACCCCAAAGGAAATACAACATATTCCAACCTGTCAATGGCAGAAAGCAAAACTTAGAATATTCCTGAAATCTAAGTGACATACTCCATATATCATCACAATTAGACAATTAAAATCATAGCTACAAACAAAGGTGGGGGCAAAGCCTTGCCCTCTTTTCTTAGGGCAAGCTGCAAACCTGCAACTCTTAGAACACGAGGCACAATTCACATGAAGATTCAAATTTATTGCCATCAAAAAATCAAAAGTACAAGACCCAAAAAGACTTGACAAAGTCTACTTTATCCCTTGTGGTTTGGCTCTAGAGCACTTCATCCTTCACCTCCACAATATTTAAAAATAGCCAAGTTCATGTGGTTTTGGCTATTTTTACACTTCACTTCCCTCTGTTAATAATTCCATCCAAATTGACAGAAACTGTGCCATACGCGCGTATTTTTGAGTAGACAAGAAAAAAATTCAGTCAGTCAAATTTTCAATGCAATAAACAATATTGCAAATGCTTGCATCTTCTTCCTCTAACCCATTTGAAAACCCTAACCCTAATCCAGCCACTACCACCACCATCCCAACCCACCTCCAACAACGACAATATTGCGCTCGAATGTTCTGTTTTGATCAGCCAGAAGCATCACTGAATGATTGGTATAAATTTAGCTCAACTGTCCTCCAAAACAAATATAAAAATCATTTACACAATTTAACATCCAAAGACAAAATGGAAAATGTAGAAAAAAAAAGGGGCAAACTTTACTTTACCCCTATGTGGTTTGAGCCATGTGCGGTTTATCCCCTGACCTTTGGAAATGACCACATAACCCCTTTGTGGTTTGTGGACTGAAGTGCACCATTAGGCCCATTAATGTTTTAATGAAAAAGACTAAAATACCCCTTATATAACTAACTTAAGTGTGTGAACTACGGTCATTTGTTTGGAAGGCAACATGCAGTTTAATCACCTGTGCTTTATTTCATGTGCGATTTACCCTCTTGAAATTTGAAAATGAGCATATAACCTCCTTATGTCTGTCACGTGTTTCACCCTTGCTATTAAGTTGGATGAAATGTTTAACGAGTGCACTTCAATCCACAAACCACGTAGGGGTTATGTGATCATTTCCAAACGTTAGGGGGTAAACTGCACACGATCCAAACCACAGGGGGTAAAGTGAAATTTGCCCAAAAAGAAATATGAGATACACAAGGTGATCCCTATATTTTATCTCTTGTGTCATTTTGGTCCCTACACTTTCAATTAGCCCAATTTTGACCCTTCATTTTAGATTTTGGTTCAATTAATAATATCCTTTAAAGAAAATTACCACCAAATTGGTTAAGGTTAACTAACTGAGATGAATAAATTTATGATTTTGCCCTTAAAAATATGGCATGTGACACTTATGTTCGTATTTTCCATAAAAAAAATATGCTGCGAATTGTAATCAATTGGACTAAATTGAGACAAAATCATAAATTCATGGTCAAAATCGAGCCAACTGAAAATTCAAGGATTAAAATAACACAAAGGGATAAAGTATAGGGACTACCGTTGTAATTTACCCAATTATTTATTTACATAAACAAACCCACCATGGGGTCAAGGTGAACATACTTAATCAAATTAGAAAACAATGAGATGGAAAACCTATAATTACATTTTCTTAAACCTATTACTTGAATAGTTATAAGCATATACGTGTGTGCACCAATCAAAAGGCCCAGGGCTCATTGATGTTTGGTAAAGCACAAATCAAGAAAAGAATGATGATGAACAGTAAAAAGAAAAACTGATAAGCAGCCCTCTAATATAATATATAATAAAATCTGTATACAAAATTTGTATGTATACTGAATATATTCCTTGTACTATTTAGTCAATAGGTGATGCTATTGAGGTGGTTGAATCTGCTGATGGTAGCAGGTTGAATATGGCACTGGTGGTTGACATGGAGTGGTGAGGAAGACTTTGTTACAATGGGAGGGTATAAAAGTCTCCGCATTTTCTGTTAACATAATTAATGTTGCAATTTAGTCCAAAATCACAGAAAGGCAAATTGTCTATTTTCAAATGTCAAGGAGGTGAAATGTAAAAATGCCAAACCACATGGAAGTAAACTGGATTTTTCCCAATCTTTAAAAGATATTGTGACAAAACTTCTCAACAAATGTATGTTTAGTCAACCTTCCAATACCAATTTAAGTAAGAGGAACAATTTTATGGCATCAGCTTTTCTCAACTTTGAACCTAAAAAGCAATAAATAGTAACAAATGCATAGAAGATTTTTTATTCATTGAAGATCTAAAACACAATAAACTGTGCAAACACAAGACTCTCTTAAGACAGGATCCTGGAGAAACTGGATTCAGGTAGCCAGCCCTGATTGCTGAAATATTATTGTTTAATTGAGTTGAATAGCAGCCCATTTCTATATAGTTGTGTTTAATGCACATCTAAAATAAAGCAAGCCCCCAATGCATGGAGACGTCCACATTAGCTGTAACACCTGCAAGGCTCAGAAAACAAGCTTCACAGGTAGTGTCTTCCAGGAAACTCACCTTGAGATGAGCCTCCAGGTCTGAGCCACTATTCTATAACCCTTAAATCTGTTGCTAAAACAGTAAAACATGACTACATTAGTGCATAAACGAGAGAGATTAATATCTTACGCTGGGATTTCTCAGGAAGATGGTTGGATGGGAATATCAAGAGTTCAACACTATCAAAGTGTCCTTTGAGAGCAAGATCACTTTTCATCATGGTCTCTAGTAAACTCTTGTAGCTTTTCTCATAGCTGTGTGATAAGCAACATAAAGAAATTAATATTTCAGAGAGAGAGAAAGAGAATCATACAAATTAGGGTGAAAATTTTCAATTGATGAAAATAGATAAACAATGTTACCTCTCGAGATCCTTAGCAAAAAAATAGAGAGCGACGTTATCTTCTTTAACACCAATTTCCTGAAACTGTGTAGGCCACGAACTCAAACGAGATACTTCATTCAAAAGAATTTTTGAAGAGAACTTGTTCACCACTTCAAGAACTTTAGGTGATGCACAAGTTGATAAATGTGCTTGCATCCCATCACAAAACTCTGAGAGTTTCCCACTTTTCTGAACCTCAAAGCCCCCTCTGCACGCAAATAACACATGCTTACAAAAAGGCATTTTCAAGATCCATCTCCACAAAATTGTCCAACGAAAGCAAAAACTAAGGGAATATGCAATGCCTAAAACTAAAAAAAGGAAACCAAGTCATAAAAAGGAAGAGGATCATACTGCCAAATAAATTCATGCTCTGGTATGGTAGACATCTTCAAAAGAGCTGAAACTGATGCCAAACCATTACAGTGCGAATCTCTTATGCAAGGCTTTCCATCAGAAGGGTGAATGGGAATAATATCTCAGGTTTTCAGAGTAGCAACTTCCAGCAGGAACGCAGAATAACAACTGCTGTTATGTGTTAATAGTTTTCTGTTTACAAGGTTCAGTAGTAGAGTTTGGCTGTACTGCTTGAGCTTCATGTACCTCACTAATGTTCCTTGCGTTAACAGAAGTTTGTAATTGATCTTGAGGACGTATTTCACTTGTTAAGTTTGTGCTTGACAAGGACAACTCATCAGATTGGTAAGGCATCTTAGTCTTTCTGTATATTCCAGGCTTTTTAAGCATAGCAGCTTCAATTGCAGCTTTCAATTTATTACCTTTGTTCATCACCTCTCTTGAACTTCTTGCATCACCAAGAAGTGACCGGGGATTGTCAATAGAGCAGGACTGTACAGAATGCCCAATTTCGTTACATTTTGGACAGGGCAAACTTCTTCCACCAGTTGCAATATTTGGCCTTGAGTGATTAACAGAACTCTCCTTGATTCTCTCACCAAGATTTGTTGATTCTCTGGGACGAGATAACACATTTGGAAGATCTTCACTAGCATTACGAAATGGTCTCTCAGCTGTAAAAGTACTTGACGAGCGATCATATGGAAGGCTAGTCTGAATTGGCTTTTGTTCTGAAAAACCATTGATTCCATTGGTCGAATCTCCAACTACACTGGACGTGCAAGATTGCCTCTTAATTTCACCTGATCCAAACGGGCAGGAGCAGAAACTTAACTAGCCAACAACATAAAAGGGTAGAAAGAGATCTAGAGAAACAAAAATATATATAAAGTGCCGTCCCACAAAATGTAATATAATACCTAAAGGAACTGAAATTTCTGAACCTTTATGAGCTACATGACTGGTTGGTTTCGATAATTTAGTGTCAGATTGCACACCCTTCAGTTCACGGTGGTTGCTTACAGAAGGAAGTGAGTAACTTTCACCATAAGATGCTATCTTTTTGTCACCTTTCAACGTAGAGACAGAAGTGTTGCCCATTGCAGAACTCACCATTGACCGTTCTGATTTGAATGAGTTCTTCCTTTCAGGTAAGTTCCACTCTTTTGCTTGTTTTAATCCTTTTAGATCCTGGCCATGAGAGAATTTAGGGGATAACATCTTAACTTTTGATTCTAAAGGATTTAAACGGCCTAGGTTGAAAGATTTAGATGACATTGATTTGCCTATCAATCTGACAGTGCCATCTTTCATATCAAGGGAAGCAGGTTCTCTAGGTGATTTCTGCTTTTGAGGAACAACTTCATCAGCAAGTTTAACTTTTGGCTTTGCATTTGTGGAATTGAATGAATTAGACTTTGACAAAGCACCTGCAAAAGAACACAGATTACATTTAAGATAAAAACCAAGAAGACACTAATCAACCAAAAGCTCTGCCCCAGGTATAGGAAAAAGAAAAAAAGTTAGTAAGCAGAAGCATCAAGTATGAAAACAATTACCTCGAGGTGTCTGCAGTCGTGGACCCATACGAGAGAATGCAGCTTCGGAGGTATCATCAATGGAGCAAGTGCCAGAAGACAATTGATGTGCTGGCTTTACTTTTCCTTTATCAAGTTTCCTGAATGACAAATCATGAGAAAGTGCTGCTGTTCTGCTGGGACTAGATATCTTTGGTGAACCCACAGTTGGCTCAAGAGACTGCCTTTTCAATGCTGAAGCAACTTCAATGTTCTCTGCATGTCTTTTACTGGAGGCTTTTGCACTCAAAATATCTTTATTTGTTTCATTTCCCTCAACATATGAATCTTTTTTATCCAACTTCACAAAGAGATTGGTATTCAGGGCACTTGCTAGTCCAGAAGATTGATTTTTGTCATTCTCATTCGATGTAACAATTTTGTCTTGCTTCAGGTTTTTGAATTCTTCATCAGACTTGCATTCTTCACACAGCCAATCACTTTCTGGAACTTTGTCCATCATTTCCCGCATGCAATACCTGCATGACAGCAATAAAAATGTTAAGAATACCTAGAATATAGAAAATTAAACTTATATAAAAATAGATAGCTAAAAAACCTGCCACAGAAAAAATTAACAAAAAAAAATCTCTATACTTACGTATGCTCTGCACCATCACTGCATCTACTACATATGGCAAGTAAATCCTCCCGACCAGCATCCCCGCAAATATCGCAAACTTTTACCTGTTTCCAGATAGGACAAAGAAATCAGCAAGCAGTTATATCATAAAATAACGACTCCAGACACACAACAGCAACTTGGTGCCTGACATGTGCATAGAACCATTAGGAAACATCCCTAGAATGAAATAAGCTAGTATAATCAGGTAAATTTAGATCAAAAACATCAATGACTAAGACAGGTGTTCCCAAGACAAAAGGAAAAAATGAAAATAAGATAAGAAGCTACAGCTTAAAAAACAAAATGCATGTTCAACCCAGAAAAACAACAAAAGCATGAATGCTTACATCATGCTCCACAATATCAGATCCATCACTATCATCTACGGGCTGGGATTGCAAAGAAGTTTCCTGCACATCAGGTAATCCACATGACTCCACGACCTTCTCAACTTCTTCAATTTTCCCTGAAGAATTCACAGCTTCAGTAGGCAGTTCACAACTACCCTTGCCTGTTTCTGTTTCTGCTTCAAAGTTGAGACAAACTTTGTCTAAGGCCGCAGAACTGCTTCCACCAACATTACCATTGTCTGTTCCCCCACAGGTATATGAAGCAGACCTCTGTTTGCAAACCATATCAGATGTTGCCTCTTTGGTCAATGATAAATTCAAATGTTCCTTTGAGAATTCAGGCAGTTCTATGGGGGGATGAGAACCTAAATCCTCTTCCAAGTTCCTCACATTTGAGTTACATGAATGATATTTTCCACTGGAAGGGCATAATTTTGGTGAGCTAATACCCTCACTCCTATCTATTGAGGAAGGAGGCACTATCAAGTCCACCTTGAGGGAAGATAACTCAACTGAAGCAGAACCATGTGGTATATTTTTCTTGCCTACATTTCCATTATTGTAACTGGCCAATTTGTTTGTATCATTACTTCCACTAACACAAGAATTGCGATCTTCATGGCATTCTATAACTTTTTGGTCCTCGAGCTTATTTGTGAGGGCTCTCTGATCAGAATTGTGTTGTGGTTTTAAAGAGAGCTGATCATCCCCAGCAGTAACACTGGATGACAAATTTGGATGCATCTTGACATCTCCAGATGCACCAGAAACCTCACAATTCCTCAAGCTAGATTTACTTTCAGCATTTTCAAAGAAAGAATCATGATTTGAATTGATACTAAGTAAGTTGCTTGTTTCACTGGCAGTATGCTGTCCACTGTCAAACGCAGTGCTATTAACAGGTGCTACATCATTAACAGAAAACTGACTGTCAGCATTTCCTTGACAAGTTTCATCAGAAAATTCATCAGTCTTCAACCCCATGAGAGCTCGGTTTATATGTAAGCAAGATGAGCAAGGAGCAGAACACACATTACACATCCCAGACTCTGCTCTCATGAGTACTTTTCGACTCTTGGAATGCCAGTCCAATCCTTTTTCATCTCGAGACAATACCTAATAATAACAGCAGAAATCAAGCAAGTGAAGACATGAACAATAAAAAGGACAAGGAATTACCATATCACATGTATGATAACCCTGAATTGTCACAATTCAATGACATAAAAGGAAAAAGATATATAAGAATTTTAAATACAGAAAATAAGCAAACATTAAGGAGAGTTGAAGAGTAAAAACCAATAATTAATTGTCATAGGCACTTCATGCATTCTTCAGTAAAGAAGTATACAATAATTAAAGTGCAATCTAAGACAAGCATGAAAGTGCAAATCCAAATTTTGCATAGCATTTAAGGCGAGAAGTTCTGTTTTGTTCATCATCTCCAAAAGTTCCTTTTCTTGCTCTGCCCCCCAATTAATGATACCCAGATCTGTGAGATGAGATTTGGACATAGATAAGTTCCTCACCACTTACCATCTTCAAAAGTTCCTTTTCTTGCTCCGCCTCCCAATTTAAGACACCCAGATCTGTGAGATTTGGACATAGATAAGTTCCTCACCACTTATCATCTCCAAAACAGGAAAGACGTGCGACCTTCATCTAACAAATGACAGCATTCCCAAAAAAATCCATGAGACAGTCTAGTACTCGAAGCTTCGCAGTCTAGAAGCAGCTGTAATCTGTGTGTATTTTATTTTTTTTTGGTTATAAAAGCTACAAGCTTAGAATAATTGAAATCTTAGACTCAAACATACAAGGAAAACTCATTTTATCGTCTTTAATGCATATGCACCCATATAACAGTGTTAATCAAAATAAAATTAACTAAATCATAAAACTAGCTTAGTTCTCACGGGAGCTGTGACTGTGATTCAGAAGTATCTTGATTGGTGAGTTGCCAACTGGCTATTAATAACATCCATAGGTGTAAGTTTAAGGGACTTAATTCTCAAATGGTGTTAATTCTCAAATGGTGACTCAATTAACATGCTGCTCAGAGTAATCTTCTTCTTTCCCATTTTTCTTCCCCCCTTGATCAAAAACATTTTGGTGTCATACAAAGAACTGACATTGAAGGCATTTTTCAATTAGGAAAAAGTAAAATATTTAGAAAAAAAAAACAAAAAAGAGAAACCACATAGATGATCTATATTAACTTAGAGAAACCATACTGTGCTAACACAGATATATTATAGGCTTTTAAAAGCAAATGAGTATCAAACAATTGAACATCGGAGTTGTCAAATTGAGTCGTATTGTGAATCGAAATCCTATTGTTGAAAATCATGAATCAAATTGAAGTGAGAATTGTAACATTCATAAAAAAACTAAAAAAAATTATGTTGAACAATCATATTTATATGAAAAAACAAAATAAATTGATTTTGGTACATGTTATACAATGGTTCTTATATATGAACATGATTACACAATCTAACTGGAAAGACATTACCTTCATACCAAGAGATGACATATGTGGGTCCGAATCCCACCAATCATTAAATTATTTAAAAATCATAATATATTCTCCCTTGACATTCAGAATATGGACCTACAAATCCTAACTATAGTAGAATAAGAAGACAAAGTGGGACTCCATTATTCTAAAATGCAAAAATTTAAAGGGCCTGTGTAGACTTGTGGGCACGTGTACCATGCTCTCCACGTGGTGAGCCCTACAGGGTATATCCTACAACCCCACACCCCCACCACGGATAACAAAGCTCTCTTCCACCCTGATGCAAATAAAATGCAATCAACAATCTAAACTCAAGAGGAAGAACAAAATCCCCAATTAGGGGGTAAAACCCTAGGGTTAGAGAGCTCTTCCTCTAACCAATATCAATATTCTTTAATAAAAACTAAGTACAATGGTATTACATCACCTATTTATAGTCTACAACTAAGCTACAACTAACAGGTCACCTAATCATATACTTAAGCTATTCATTCTACTAAAAGGCTTGGTTTGGCATAACCTAAAATAACCAAAAAAGTCACTATCCTATTTAAGTCACGTCATCTTATTTAAATCACATCACCTTTCTAACACATCACATCAAACCCAACCCAACCCAAACCCAACCCATATAAGCCAATAAGTCAAAAAGTGCACTTTTTTAGAACATCCCAAACCAACCCTTCACACCCCTCCAATCTTTTGCCAATCTTTTCTAACACTAAAGCCTAGAAAGACTCGATTCTAGGGTTGTCTCCTAATGGAAGTCCCAAATACTTAAAAGAAAGACTCTCAATGGAGCATCCTAACATTCCCGCCACCCAATGCAGTCTGTCGTGATGCAGATTAATACTATACTACTCTTGCTCAAATTAACTTTAAGACTTGAAACCATTTAAAAAATTCATAACAACAATAATAAACAAGAAATCCTATTTTCCTCTCCAGAAGAGAAAAATAGTATCATCCGCATACTAAAGATGGGACACACAAACCTTGTCCCTTCCAATAATAAAAGCATCTCTCGCACCCTTTCAATCAACCTCCCTAACACATCTGCCACCAATATAAAGAGGAAAGGAGATAATCGGTCTCCTTATCATAACCCTCTGGAAGCCTTAAAAGAGTTTTCAGCATTTACATCTAGTAAAATGGATAAATTACAAAAATTCAAACACCCCCAAATCCACCTTCTCCATCTTATAAATCATTCAAAATAATGCTTTTAAATACACAAATTTATAGTTTCCTTTAACTTTGCAAAAATTTCACAATAATAGTATATTATTTCCATTTAAAATACTTAATCTAGTGATCCTGATTGAGTTTACAAATAATTGATTGGATTTTGAGCTGATGTGTGAATCTAGAGTTATAGATTCAATTCATCATCATTTTAATTATAATTTTTCAATGTATAACCTTTTATAGATTTTTATTTTTGAATGTATATATGCAACAAAATTTTACAAATCTGCCTGCCTAGGCATCAAAGTATTAAAAAAAAACCCAATAATTCTAAGACCCACCTAAAACAACTTGTTTAACCCTATAAATTGCAATTATAAATTCGAGATTAATTCATTACACCAAAACAAACAAACAAACAAAAACCCTGCCTAGGCATCAAAGTATAAAAAAACCCAATAATTCTAAGACCTACCTAAAACAACATATTTAACCGCATAAATTATAATTAGAAATTTGAGATTAATTAATTACCCCCCCCCCCCCCCGTTTACTTTAAAGGCCCCCAAACAAGAAAAATACAAATATTTAGCTATCTAAAGCAAGCTAGCTCAAAATCAAAATTAATACCCATACAACCAAATTCAAAATCTTCAAATACACATTAGCCCATAAATGACCCAATTATGCTACATAATGAATGGACCAAATTGAAGTTAAAAGCAGACATTATGGGCTGTTCAATATTACTGAAAATTTAGGGTGTTTGGGAATTCGCTTTTTTAGTGGCTTTTTAGCTTTTTACAAAAAGACATACAAAAAAGTAGAGAGAATGGGTTGACTTTTTGTATTGGCTTTTTTTACTTTTTGGCTAATTTAGCATGTTCCCAAATTCATTGTTATATTAACATTGCAGACAAAATTTAAAAAGCTAGACAATTAAGATTGAAATTTTAAAATCACCATTCATAAGTTTGTTCAATATATCTAACTTGAAACTCAGACCCATTTAAGTGGGTTTTCCAATTTTAGAGTCACCTGACTATCCATTATCAAGACTCATACAGAACATCAAGCACCATATTCAAACAATCCTAAGGCTGTTGTACAAATGGCTATACTAGAGTAGATTGATTTCCCACAATAGCAAATGATAGTGATAATATTTGATGCCTGAAACACAAATAGTTCCATTATTCCATATATGAAACTTCAAAAATGCAATAATTCTCTCCATTAAGAAAAAAAAATGTACACTCATTCTAAAATCTCATGTAGATCATCACATGTCCCAAAACCTGGTAGCATAATATAATCCATCAATGGGTTGTAAACCCAATAAGCATATCATAATCCATCCATGGGTTGTAAAATCCAGGGGGAAAAAACAACTAAGATGAAACAAATTTGACACAAATTATCACACACGCACACACACAACTGGCCTAAAACAGAACAAGACAAGCTTAATGGGTAAAACACAGACCAAGATCAGAGACCACTGAATAACAATCTACGAATATTTGCATCTCAAAAAATAGACTGTATATTGTTTTAACCACTACTCCAGCCAAACCTACGCAGATGAGAAGTCTAATATTTCATAATCTACAAAGCTGAATATTTCATTGGTACTATAACACAGGTACACAAAACATAGCAAACAAGATGCCACCACAAACCTCTAGATAAGAACAACTGCACGTAATTACCCTGTTATCTCACCGAATTCGTCTGAATGTCATAATCTGTCTCATCCACTGGCCCATCCATGGGACAGCACCTCCCTCTCAACACTGAGGTGATCAAAAAAGCACACACAAACAACATCAATCATCGCTGTCCAGCAGAATTACCCCAAAGCCAAATTCAACTTTAAAAACAAAAACAAAAAAACAAAAAAAAATAAGGAAAAAAAAAGAAGACAGCAGCATCACCAAGTCACCTAAAGCAATGCAAACATCGCCAAGTGCAACAGAACCCCAAAAAGAGAAAAATCTAATTATCTCTCGATCCGACAATCCATCCACATATCTATCTATCTATCTACGCATAGTAATACAAACAAAGACATCTAAGTTCAACGGAGATAACCAGTGACGAACCCAAAAACCCTAATCAAATTAAACGCAAAGTATCAAACCAAAATTAATACTCTTTTGCACAAATTAATAATCAATCGAACAATAATTTCGAATAACATCAATCTCATTACTTGAAATCAGAAATGCGATCAGAACAAACAGTAAATCAATTTGAAATTCAAAAAAAAAAATCCTAAATTTGGAAAATGAATTGGGGGAAAATAAAATTACATGCCTCCGGTGGTTTCGCAACTGTGTGAGTCAGAGTGAATAGGTCGATGAGGGTTCGTTCCTTGCGCTTAGTCGTCGATGCCATTGCCGCCGACACCGTAAAGATCGAGATTGAAACATTTTATTTATTTATTTATTTTCGAATTTAATGAAGAATATATATCTCATATCATCGATGATGCAAAGCGGAAACCCAGAATACCAGAATACCTATCTATCTGTATCTCTCTCTCTCTCTCTCTATCTATCTATCTGTATGTATCTCTCTCTCTCTCTCTCTCTCTCTTATTCACATTGCCAACGAGCCGGGCCTGCCCCGGCCTGAGGTCAGGCTTCGGGCTGCACACGGGTCACGGGCCAATTGTACACACTTATCAATGTGAATGTTAACATGTCAATGTGAATATTCACATTGCCAACGAGCCGGGCCTGCCCCGGCCTGAGGTCAGGCTTCGGGCTGCACACGGGTCACGGGCCAATTGTACACACTTATCAATGTGAATGTTAACATGTCAATGTGAATATTCACATTGCCAACGAGCCGGGCCTGCCCCGGCCTGAGGTCAGGCTTCGGGCTGCACACGGGTCACGGGCCAATTGTACACTCTTATCAATGTGAATGTTAACATGTCAATGTGAATATTTGCATTATCAACGGGTCGGGCCGGGCCCGCCTAGGGCAGCCCACGAGCCACAGGCGGGGTTCGGGCCGGCCACAGGCCGCGGGCTAATTTTTCACTCCTATTAATGTGAATGTTAACATGTCAATGTGAATATTCACATTGTCAACGGGCCGGGCCCGTCCCGGCCCGACTCAAATTTTTCCGGGCACCCACGAGGATCGACATGAGCCGGGCCCCTACACATTGACGATATAAACATTTATATTGACGGTGTGAACATTCATATTAAGGGTATTTTGGTAATTATGTCACCCATAGAACTTATTGAAACATAAGAAAATAATGTGAACTAAGTAGAACATAAGTAGATGAAAAGGGTATTTTGGTCTTCTTATATCAAATTGGACCTAATGGAATATTCAAAAAGAATATGGGTTGGATGGAATAAAGCTCTTAGAAAATGGATTTATCAAAAAAGCTCCCTTATATATATACGTAAGATTGTTTGAGGAGTGATAAACTAATATATTTTTTGACTATTTATATAAAAAAAAATATGAAGGGTGAGTTGAGATTGAATTAATATGGTAGGAAAGTGATATGATCTAAAAAACAAGTAATAGGATCTAAATAAAATGATTGTGACCTAAATAAAATAATATATTAAAATAACATATGCTATTTTAACACATGCCAAATAAAGTCTGGTAATTAATAAATACAAAAAGATTTTTTTTTAGAAAAATGTTATAAATCTCAAATAATTTACTAAATTTTTTATCAAAACTTTCAGTACGATCACATAAATCCACATATGTGTGGATCCCACACCCATGTAAAAGCTGTAGGAGATTATTTAGGCTCCCTAACATAACTTCATCTTCTTCTTCTTTTTGTAGAAAATCTACCAAAGAAGAGAGAGAAAGGCCTTAAATGAAATAATTAATGAGTTATGTTTGGGATTCTAAGTAATCTATTAATTTTTTTATCAAAACTATATCAGACCCATATACATGTAGATTTGTGTGGGTAAGTTTTAATAAAAAATTTGATAAATTATTTAGGGTCTATAATATTTTCTATAATTAATATATATAATATAAGAATTAATTAAGAATCTAAGAATCTATTGGTGGAGATTTGGGTGGGGAGTTACTGATACAGACCAGCCAAGAGGCAGGCCCAGCGGAGGGCCACGGATGACTTTGCTTATGGAATACACGAGGCGTTTAGTAGTTTTTAATTTTTTTTTATAAAAATAGTACAGAACAATTAGAGGGTTATAAATAGTACAAAACAATTAGAGGGTGTATAAATAGAGAGAGTCATAATTTTGAGTATTTTTTAATTATTACATATTGAAAAATGAGACTTCAGTGATTTTTACTTTTTTTTTTAGTAAATTACAAATATATTTTTTTAAATTTACTTAAAATATTAAAATATTAATCATCTCTTTTAATTTGAAAAATTACAAATATTATATTGTCTAAATTTTTTATTTAATAGAATTAACTAAAAAATTAAATTCCTAATTACTACCTTATATAATAATAAAATTATCTAAATTATTAATTAAAATATATTTTTAATATTATTAAAAACTAGGAAAAATTAGTCTAGGGTCCCTCTCCCACTTTTCGTAATAGAAAAAATCTACAAAATTATTTTTTGATAGCTAAGGTCCCTAAACATATATCAGAGAAATTTGACTCTTTGTCTCTCCACCAAACACTCCAAGATCCAACTCTCTCTCTCTCTCTCTCTCTCTCTCTCTTCTCCTCTCACCCACTAGTCTTCGAGATCCAAGGCATTCAAATCAGTTACTTGACGTTATGGAAACAGCAGATGATAGATAGATATACATAAAGAGAGAAAATAAATTTGATCGTGCATGAGAGAAAGAGAGATGATGTGGAGATGGTCGTGTATTTTCCTGAAATAGAGTTTGTCGTCGGTGGTTGGGTACAAACCGAAGGCGAAGGCGGCGTTAGGGCTGAGAGCGGTGTGTGCATCGTTTTCAACGGAGTCGAGTGGCGGCAAAAGTGGTAGTGATGTGGTCAGAGGATGAAGGGATAATAATAATAATAATAGTATGTCGTTTGCGGAGGCGAAGAAGCTGATGAGATTGGTAAATGTGGAAGCGTTGAAGATGAAGCTAGGGGGTGAAGATTGGTAAATTTCTCTGATGTTGTTATGGAGGGTAAATGTGCAAAAGTTATTGACCAGGAAGATCGAAAAAGAGCTCATGTTGTATTTAACCCAGGTACAAAGTTTGCAATCTGTGATTGCAATTAGGCAGAAATGGGCAACGTCTGTGAACATGTGTTCAAAATTATTAAGGTTTTTCCCAATAAAGGGTTAAGTTTACCATCTATCAGCATGTTTCAGTATAACCAGGCTTTGATTAATATGTTACACTGCCCACCCCATGCCTCTCTGATTCGGGAGAAATTCTAGAATTTCTTTAGAAGAGGAGAATTGCAATTTTCTCTGAATGAGTCAAAAAATAATTTTCTCTGGCATGTTTAATTTTCTCTGTGATGTTTAATTTTCTCTAAATTTTTCTGGTTTAGAATTTCTCTGGTAAAGAAAAGAGAACTGTAATTTTCTCTGGTTTGATCAATTTTCTCTAGTTTAGTCAAAACACAATTTGGTAAATGTCGTTTGCTTATCTACTGCTTGCTTTCTTCTTTGCTGGTTGAATAGGGCTGACCTTCACATTTTGCATATAATGTTCAATATGTTTTTGCCAGATTATTGAGTGAAAATTATATCAATCAGTTCTGCGATTGGATATAGGGACTTGTTTTGAAACTGACTTTATAGAACATACTGCACTCAGAAAAAAAAGGAGGTTGAAGCAAAATCAAAATGCTTTGTTCTTTGTGGAATTCCATTACCCACCCAGAACATAGTCCTCCCCTTATTTTGACAGGGAATGTCAGAGAAATTTTCCAAATTTCTCTGGAAAGTCCAGAATTTCTCTGGATCAATTTTCTCTTTGACGTGAATTTTCTCTGGACCAATTTTCTCTGGATCAACTTGAGGGACCTTAGACATTATGAAAATATTAGATGTCCTTTATGCTATAAAATCTTAATACGAGGGACCTTAAAAAAAACCCCTAAAAACTATTAATTGATTTACAAATCTCAAGAAATTTATTTGTAATTTACCCTTATTTCTTCTTTCTTTCTATTTTGCTACTGGCGTCCAATGAGGCCTAATTTCTCTCTCTCCTCCCTTTTTCTACTTTCTCCTTCCCTATCCCTATCACGAATAAACAATGTTGATAAATAAAATACATAATTTGCATGTAATTTTAATATGTGGTTTAAATTTATTTTGAGAATGAGTGATAGCAACAAATTTTAAATCTAATTATTATATACATTATACATAATATATATATATTTGCATATTTTGGTACACATTTTTTAATATGAAGAATAAATTTTTAGTAAATACTTTTATTTGCAGTATTTTTTTTTTTTTTTAGTTGTTGTGATTCGATTTTGAACATATTACAAACTTTATCCAAATTAAATTAAATATACTCTCTTGTACTTTGAGAAATTCTAAATATTCTTACTTATTAATTAAAATAGTTAATAAGAGGCTTAAAGTTACCTTAACCATCCTTTAACACCAACAATATTATACGATTGTCTTCTTCCCTTCTTTCCTCGACCAAACACCTTTCGAACATCCACCCTCAAACAATCACTTCCCCACCACCCCTTCTTAACCAAACACCTCTTTCTATAGTCACCTACCCCTGGCTACCTAATTTCCAAACTCAATTGACACCTTTTTACCTCTTTCCTTCATTCTCGTGCCACTACCCATCCCTTGCCCCACAGTCTATGCTTTATTCTGCAAATTTTTACAAAACCAATAATCAAAACAACAATTAAAACCTATCAAAACAATTGAGAAAACCTGTTCTTGTCCCAAATTTCACAAATCTCAAACAGTTGTGGGGATATATTTTCTGAGTCCCAACACGTGGCGAAGGTGACGCTGACATGTCAGCCGAGGTGCCACGTGTCCTGGTTACGACGCCGAGGTTATCTCCGAAGATATCGAAATCCGAGATAAGCGGATAAGGCACAAGAGTCCTAGAATAAGGAAGGACTTTAGCACGGATAAGGACCTGGTAGCATAATATAATCCATCAATGGGTTGTAAACCCAATAAGCATATCATAATCCATCCATGGGTTGTAAAATCCAGGGGGAAAAAACAACTAAGATGAAACAAATTTGACACAAATTATCACACACGCACACACACAACTGGCCTAAAACAGAACAAGACAAGCTTAATGGGTAAAACACAGACCAAGATCAGAGACCACTGAATAACAATCTACGAATATTTGCATCTCAAAAAATAGACTGTATATTGTTTTAACCACTACTCCAGCCAAACCTACGCAGATGAGAAGTC